ATCAACATATGTCCATGCAAAAACCTGCACACGGGTGTATAATGCAGCTTTGTTCATCATTGCAAACACTTGGAAGCAACAGCGATGTCCTTTAGGAGTTAAAACAGATAGATAAGCTTGGTGCTTGCAGACAATGGGGCATTTGTTATGCAGCACTAAAAGGCAATGAGCTTTCAAGCCAAGAAAAGACATGGAGGAAATGTAAATGCATGTTTTTATGTTAAAGATTTATTTATTTATTTGGAAGACTTACACAGAGGGAGAAGGAGAGGCAGAGACAAGAGAGAGGTGTTCCACCTGCTGGTTCGCTCCCCAATTGACCACAATGTCCGGAACTGGGCCTATCAGAAGCCAGGAGCCAAGAGCTTCTCTGGATCTCTTATGTGGGTGCAGGGGCCCAAGCACTTGGGCCATCTTCTACTGCTTTCCCAGGCTGTAGCAGAGAGCTGGATCGGAAGTGGAGCAGCCGGGACTCAAACCGGAGCCCATGTGGGATGCCAGCACTGCAGGCGGCGGCTTCACCTGCTATGCCACAGCACCAGCCCCCGTAAATGCATATTACTGAGTGTGTGAAGCCAGTCTGAAAAGGCTGCATACTGTACCATTCCAACTCTAGGATATTCTGGAAAAGGAAGAATGCTAGGGACAGCCAAAAGTAGTGGCAAGGCGTTAGGCCAATGAAGAGACAGAACAGAGTGGAATTTAGGGCAGCACAAGCCAGGCTGTGTGATGCTGACCTGGCAGATGCAGGTCCACCTGTTTTTGGCCAAAGCCATGGGATGTACACCACCATGGGAGAGCACACATGTGTGCTGTCGCCTTTGGGTGACACTGATGTGTCAGCGGAGGCTCATCAGTTGCAACAGATGAGCCGCGCCGGTGGGGGATGTTGGTGGGAGGCAGGCAGTGGGTGTGTGGTGCGGGAAGCGGCTATGTGAGAACTGCCTGTACTTCTGCTCAGTTTTGCTGGGAACCTCAAAGTGCTCTAAAAAAATATGGTCTATTAAAACAAAGCGAACTGAAAACCCCATGAGAGGAAGGAGAAGAGTCGAGTGGAGGATGCGGCGGGAGGTGGGGCAGAGACCGTGGCGGGGCTGGGGGAAGAAGGGTTCAGGAGCATCCATGGTGAGGGTAGGGGTAGGGAAGGGGTGCACGTGGAAGCTTCTGGATTCGCTAGCTCTGTAATACCGTGGGTGGCTGTGTGATGAACCACCCCTGGCAGTCTGGATTGAGCTCATGGGGCAGATATTGCACCAGCAGACAGAGAAACGAGGTGGAGAGGGAAGGAAGAGACTTCCGTCACTGATGAAGACAAGAGAGCTGGCGCATTATTTTATTTATGAAGTGTCTTGTAGATTAATCATTCTGTTGTATGCATCATTTAAAAATATTTATTTATTGGGGGTGGGTTCTATTTGTTGGTTCATTCCCTAAATGCCTGCAATGCTCAGGGCAGGCTGGCCATTGAAACTGGGTCTCCCATGTGGGTGGCAGGAGCCCAGTCACTTGAGCCCTCATTGCTACTTCCCAGGATGCGCGTGAGCAGGAAGCTGGAGTCAGGAGCTGGAGCCAGAACTGAACCCAGATTCTCCAGTTTTGGATGCAGATGTCTCAACGGCTAAGCTAAGTGCCCCTCCTTGTGCATGATTTGTTGAGGTGACACAGTGCGTGATGGTATACAGAAATTTCGCAGCCTCGGCACCAAGTTTGGAGAAGGCCTGTCTGCAGGCTGCAGGTAGCGTCTGCGGGGGTCGAGGGCAGGCTGTGAACAAGTGGAAGTCTCTGTGCCCTTCTTTCGGCAACAGCGCAGCGTCACTTCTCATCCTGGCTGACGTTGGCTCTCTTCACCAGCCCCAGTGCTTCCTCCACCCTGCTCTGGGCACCTGGAGGAGGCCGACTCTGGGGACCACACAGCTTACCTGTTTCCTAGCTATCTGATAGGCTGGCCTCAGCCTGGGCTCCCCGGAGACTGAGGGCCTGGACTCCAGTCCTGGCTCCACTTGGGACCCCAGCGTCCTTCTGATGGGCACCCTGGAGAGCAGAGGATGATGGCTCCCAACTTCGGCCTGGCCCAGCTTTGAAGAGTGAACCAGCAGATGGAAGATCTCTCTGTCTCTCTGCTTTGAAAAAACAAACAAAAATGGCAGAGGTGGAGGGGAGAACATTTGAGAACTCTTCAGGAGATGGACTCAAGTTTGAGGGTGAAGAAGATGGTGAGACTCTGTGTGCAGAGCTGGGTGCCTGAGGAGGTGCAGGTGCAGGGGAGAGGCGGGCAGGGCAGGGCCAGGGTCTGCTTCCTGTTGGGGGGGTGCAGGTGCAGGGGAGAGGTGGGCAGGGCAGGGCCAGGGTCCGAGTCCTGTTAAGGAGGTGTCGCCGTACAGGGCTGTTTCACATCTTTCTTTCACAGAGATGGAGTATACAGCGCGCGGGTCTTTGTGTCTGATTTGCTTCCCTGGGAGTCATGATTTCAAGGTTGTCCGGGAGGTGTCCTCCGCGGTGTGCAGGCACCACGCTTTCCTTCTCCATCCCTCTGTTAGTGGACCTTCGGGTCATTTCTGTGTTTCACTGACGAGAGGAGAGCGGCTGGGAGCATCCGGGTTTACGCTTGTGCGTTGATGTCCATTCTCGCTTCTCTCGGGTGTGCAGCCCGGAGTACACTTGCCAGGCGTCCAAGTGCTAACTCCATGTTTAACATGTTGAGGAATGGCTGGCCAGAATGTTTTTACAAGCTTTTCTCTATAACTACTAATTTTTTTGAAGATTTATTTATTTGAAAGGCAGAGAGAGAGAGAGAGAGAGAGAAAGAGAGAGAGACATGTTCTATCTGCTGATTCAGTCCCCAGATAGACGCAACAGCCAGCACAGGGCCATGCCAAAGCCAGGAGCTTCATCTGGGTCTCCCACATGGGTGCAGAGGCCCGAATACTTGGGCCATCTTCTACTGCTTTTCCCGGGCCATTAGAGAGAGCTGGATCAGAAGTGGAGCAGCCGGGACTCAAACTGATATGGGATGCTGGCATTGCAGGTGATGCCTCTACCCACTATGCTGCAACACTGGCCCTCTACTAATTTTTTTGTTTTGTTTAGTTTTAAAGTCTTCTTGTTTGAGCTTAGTATAACCACTCTAGCTTTCTTCTGATTACCCCTTGCCTTTTAAAAAAGATGTTTTTGGGGCCGCCACTGTGGTAGAGTAGGTTAATTCTCTGCCTGTGGCGCTGGCATCCCATATGGGTGCCAGTTTGAATCCCGGCTGCTTCTCTTCCAATCCAGCTCTCTGTTATGGCCTGGGAAAGCAGTAGAAGATGGCCCAAGTTCTTGGGCCCCTGCACCAGCATGGGAAACCAGGAAGAAGCTCCTGGCTTCTGACTTCAGATCAGCGCATCGTTGCAGCCATCTGGGGAGTGAACCAGCGGATGGAAGACCCCTCTCTTTGTCTCTACCTCTTTATAATGCTGTCTTTCGAATAAATAAAATAAATCTAAAAAAAAAAAAAATAGATCTTCCACCTGCTACTTCACTCCCCAAATGCCTGCAACAGCCAGGGATGGGCCAAGCCAAAGCTGGGAGCTGGGAGTAAAATCCAGGTCTCCCACGTTGGATAGCAGAGACTTAACCATGAGCCATGACTGCTTCCTCCCAGGGTCTGCATTAGCAGGAAGCTATAGAGTCGGCAGCCAGAGGCAGGACAGGAACCCAGGCACCTGGTAAGGCACGCAGGCATCTTAACCTGGCGTCTTAACTATTAGGCCAGAAGCCCATCCCTGCTCTTCCAGTTTTGTTGCTGCTGTGAACATTTTTGTACACCTCTCCTGATCATTGCTGTCAAAGTGATGACGAGTATCGGCATTGGCTGGCACTGGTTAGAAATGTAAATTATGGGGGCGGGCATTTGGCTTCGCTGTTAAGATACTGCTTGGGACACCTGCATCTCATATTGGAGTGCCTGGTTCAGGTCCCGGGTCCCACACCTCCTAGCTTGCTAATAAATGTGTCCCTTGGTGGGTAGCAGGTGATGGCGCAAGTGGCTGAGTCCTTGCTGCTCACGCGGGAGACCTGGATTGAGTTCTGGCTCCTGTTCTGGTCATTTGAGGAAGGAACGAACAGATGAAAGATGTCCCTCTCTCTCTGCCTTTGTCACCCTCTCCTCTCTCTCTCTGTCTCCCTGCCTTTCAGATACATTTAAAAAGTAAATAAAAATTAGAAAAGAGGAATGAGAGTTCTGGAGACCCCCTCCCCCCCAGACCGGCAGCCAGCACCCCTGGGGGTGGACCTGGCAGGCTGGGTTGCAATAAGCCCCTCAGGTGACTCTGATGCTCCCCAGCGAAATTTGATGTCCACTGCTCCACGGGAAGGACTGGGAGTGACGTTTCCAGACTGCTGGCAGCCGATTGGCTTCTTCATTTTAAAAAAAATTTTTTTTTTTTTTTTTGACAGGCAGAGTGGACAGTGAGAGAGAGAGACAGAGAGAAAGGTCTTCCTTTGCCATTGGTTCACCCTCCAATGGCCGCCGCGGCCCGCGCGCTGTGGCCGGCGCACCGCGATGATCCGATGGCAGGAGCCAGGTGCTTCTCCTGGTCTCCCATGGGGTGCAGGGCCCAAGGACCTGGGCCATCCTCCACTGCACTCCCGGGCCACAGCAGAGAGCTGGCCTGGAAGAGGGGCAACCGGGACAGAATCTGGCACCCCGTCCGGGACTAGAACCCGGTGTGCCGCAAGGCGCCGGCCTTCCGATTGGCTTCTGAAGAGGTGGCTCGTGTGGCGCTCCTGGGCGGCCACACCATCCTGTTTCGCCCACGTCGTCGGTGGGCCTGGTTGGCCTTTCCCACAGAGAGGCGTGGGCGTGACTGTTGGCTTTTCCTCCCCGTCTCTGCTCCTGCGCTGCCTCCTGCTGGCTGCGCCCTGTCCGAGGAAGCAGAGCCACAGCACGCACATGCGCTGCCCAGCTGTCCCTGGCGAGAGCCCCCTGTTCGTGCTCATTCAACGAGGGTCTGTTTCCACAGGAGTACATGCTGCACCTGTTGGCCCTGGAGCATCGCGCTGAAGAGCAGTTCCTGGAGCACTGGCTGAACCCACACTGCAAGCCCCACTGTGACAGGAATCGGGTCCACCCCGTGTAGGGGGCTTGGGCCCAGCCTGGTATGTCCCCGTGTCCCGGGCCTTCTGTAGGAGGGAGATTGCCGTGGGTGGCACGTGCAGGGGCTGGGAGATCTGCCAGAACACGGCATCAGGGGAACCGGCCGGCTGGCTGCTTGTGGGCTGGGGTGTCGAGGGTGATGCAGGAGAGACGGGCAGGAACCAGGTTAAGAGGAGCTCCGAGGGCTCATCGGGGAGACTGCGCAGTCACTAGGACGTGACCCCTTTGCCCTCCAGCAGAGATCATTCTGGAATCTGTCCTGCCTGGAGAAGAGAAGGGTGGCTTGCTGAGGCATGGGTCTCTCCCCAGGTGGGGTCAGCACCTGTGGGCTCCATCTTGACATTCACCATGATCATCACAGCATCACCAGGATTGGCAGCTTCTCTCCTGCGTCTCGCTCCTACTCCCCACTGCCTTCCCACAGCTCTCCCACTGGCAGTCTGCCCGCCCTCTCCCTGCCATCTCTCTCCCTCTTGGCCTTCTCCCCCAGCCCACCTGCCAGGGACTGCCCAGCCTTCCCAGCACACCCCACATACCCCAGCTCCGCACCACTGTTCCTAGATGAGGCTGCTTGCTCCTTCCTGTCCATCCTCATCTCCTTTCCAGCTTCCTAAATCTTTTTTTTTTTTTTACAAAGATTTATTTTATTTATTTTAAAGACAGAGTTACAGAGAGGGAGAGACAGAGAGAGGTCTTCCATCTGTTGGTTCACTCCCCAGATGGCTGCAATGGCCGGAGCTGCGCCAATCTGAAGTCAGGAGCCAGGAGCTTCTTCCAGGTCTCGCACATTGGTGTGGGGACCCAAAGACTTGGACCATCTTCCACTGCTTTCCCAGGCCACAGCATAGAGCTGGATCAGAAGAGGAGCAGCCAGGACTAGAACTGGCGCCCATATGGAGTTCTGGCACTTCAGGCCAGGGCTTTAACTTGCTGCGCCACAGTGCCAGCCCCAGCTTCCTAAATCTTATTAGTTAAGGTAGCAAAATCACTTCAGAGGTCAAAGCCAGCGAAGTTCATTCCTCCTCTGTAGAGCAGGACTGAGTAGGACAGGATGGTTGTCTGTGGTTAAGAGAAATCTCACATTGTTGTTTGTTTTCTGCTACTGTGAATGGGCGCAGGGACCTGCCCTTTAGCTTATCACTGTAATTTTCAGGGGGCCATCACATAAACCCTCTCGCTGAACCCTCCTCATGTCCTGGTGTCACTGGAAGGCGTGCATTTGAACTCTGGTGAGGAGCCGACTGAGCCCCATGGAGCCACTAACTCATGCTGGGAATCAGTCCCTGCCCTCTGCACATCCCGCCCCTTCTCTCTGACTGACAGCCTGACCCTAGGTGTGGGAGGGAATCCCCGTGAGCAGCTTTCACACACAGGGTGCTGCTCAGCTGTGGGGAGGGGTGGCGGCCGGGCTGACGTCCCCCTTCCACTCTGTTCCGGCTCCGTTTCCTGATCCCCAGGCTGCTGCCTGCCCTGCATCCAGGGCGTGTCCCTTCCAGCACTGGAAACCATCATACATCTTCTTCCAGAAGACGGAACCATGCAGGGATTACACGCTCAGACTCTGGAACTGGCCAGAGCTGAGTTTGACTTCCTGGGTCCCCGCCCTGTGGCCTTCAGCAAGTAGCCTGACCTCTCTGGCTCCCCATTTCTACGTGGGTAAATTGGAGTGACAGTGATGGCTATGGAGGGGTAGGCATTTGGCCTAATAGTTGAGGTGCCCGCTGGGACACTGTGTCCTGCGTGGGAGTGCCAGCATCCGAGTCCTGGCTCGATTCCCAATTCTACCTTCCTGCTCCTGTGTACTCTGGGAGGCAGCAGGTGCTCACTCAAGTACCTGGGTCCCTGCCATGCATGTGGGAGATCCAGACTGAGTTCCAGCTCTTGTGTTTGGCCTGGCCCAGCCCCTGCTATTGCAGGCATTTGGGGAGTGAACCAATGGAAAGATCTCTGTCTCCTTGTCTCTCAAATTAACAAAAAAAAATTACGTCCATGGAGGATGAGGCCTAATGAGTGCCTCTATAAATGGGAGGACTTTCCTCCAGGCAGGAAAAGGCAGTGTTGGTGAGGCAGGGATCTTTGGAGGCCTCTGGCCAGGAAGCTCCCCCTCGCACAGTGCCCAGGAAGCAGTGGCTGGTGGGCTGCGTCCACCTGGAGCTTGGAGTCAGAGAGCTTTCGGGTGCTGACTCCCCATTCACTGGCTGAATCATCTTGGAAAAAATGTCTCAGCTTCCTTATCTGCAAAATGAGGATAGCAATGCCATCGTTGTCCTGAAGATGAAGAAGTTCAGTGTGTGGAAAACAGCGTTGCTATTGCTCAGGAAGTGACAGGTGGATGGCTGTTTCCCTCTCCTTAGCCTCTTCCTCCTCTCCTGTCTTCTTCCTTTTTTATCAACATCATCATCACTATCATCGCCATCATCACTTTATCATCATCCCTATCATTGCCGCCATCATTCCCATGTCCACTCTCATCCACCTACCATCGCCCCTCCACCACCACCACCGCTGTTGTCATTACCATCATCACTATCCCCCCATCATCATCACCATCCCCATCATCATCACCGCCACCTCTACCTTGACTGTCAACAGTACCATCATCACCATCCCCACCAAGACCATCACTTCCACCACCACCACTGATGTCATTACCATCATCGCTATCATCACCCCCTCGTCATCACCATCAGCACACCACCCCCCCATCATCACCTTAACATTTTTTTTCTTGTTCTTTTCCAGCAAGCATCGTGATAGGCAATGGCCTGGACAATCCAAAACAGGATAAACTTCTCCTTTCATTTGTTTGCAAACTGTGGAGATGGATTTCTGCAGACCTTGTGAACTGTTGGGTGTGCCAAAGCTTGCCTTGGGGATGGCAAATATATATGCCGCTTCATTACACTAACCTGCATGAGTCTTTGCAATTAATAGCTTTAAGTGTGGCTCCCATTGCCCTCAAACATCTTCCTACTGACTCATCAGGCTGGGCAGACACAGATTCTTCCCTGGGGCTGACAGAGCTGGGATCTCTGGACCAGGAGCCAGGGCAGCTGCCTGGCCATGACTTCCCTGCAATGAGGCACATCACGTGGGGCCACTGAGTTTATGGTCAAGTATTTTTCTCTTTCTGTCTCTGTCCTAATAAATGCTGATGTCAAACCTGCTTTCTGTGGTGTCTTCTTTCATTCCCCTGCAAGAAGAGATGCCAAGATTTCCTTCCCTTATTTATCTTTGTAAATCCAGCTTCCTAAATCTTACTTTTCTTTGAATACACAAATGGAAGAAAACACCAGCACCCAGCCCCTTTGTGCAAAAGCCACCTCTGAAGATAGGGTCGGAACTCAATGCCACAGGCAAAGGCAACATTTTTGCACAACTCTCTCTCTCTCTCTTTTTTTTTGACAGGCGGAGTGGACAGTGAGAGAGAGAGACAGGTCTTCCTTTTTTCCATTGGTTCACCCCCCAAGTGGCCACTATAGCTGGCGCACCGCGCTGATCCGAAGCCAGGAGCCAGGTGCTTCTCCTGGTCTTCCATGCGGGTGCAGGGCCCAAGCACTTGGGCCATCCTCCACTGCACTCCCAGGCCACAGCAGAGAGCTGGACTGGAAGAGGAGCAACCGGGACAGAATCCGGCGCCCCGACTGGGACTAGAACCCGGAGTGCCGGTGCCGCAGGTGGAGGATTAGCCTATTGAGCCGCGGTGCTGGCCCTGCACAACTCATACATCCCACCACCCTCACCTGCCTCACAACCCCATAGGCAGGGATTGGACAGTCGAGGACCAACACAAGCAGAAATTCAGAGAGTGAGGGAAGGTGGGCAGCATGGCTTGAGGGAAAGGAGAATTTGGAATCCTCAAGATAAGGTAAGGGGAGGGATGCTATGCACCCGGGCCACAGAACAGGGCCTGTGCCAAGGAAGGCCAGGTGGGCTTGTGTAGGGAGAGAGCTCCTGAGCCTCTCACCAAGGATGATGCCAAGATTCACTTTATGCTTACCGCAGGGCAAGCCCTGCGTAGGTTTTCTACGTACACGCCCTCTGAACCATCACACCTACCCCATGCAGTAGATTTGGTTGTTGTCCCCAGTTCATAGATGAGGAAGCTGGGACTTGCAGAATTTAGAGAGTCCATCAGTATTTTTTAAAAGATTTATTTTTATTTATTTGCAATACAGGGTTACAGAGAGAGGTAGAAACAGAGAGAGAGGTCTTCCACCTGCTGGTTCACTCCCCAGATGGCCGCAATGGCCAGAGCTGCGCCAATCTGAAGCCAGGATCCAGGAGCTTCTTCCAGGTCTCCCATGAGGGTGCAGAGGCCCAAGGACATGAGCCATCTTCTACTGCTTTCCCAGGCCATAGCAGAGAGCTGGATTGGAAGAGGAGCAGTCAGGACTAGAACCGGCACCCATAAGGGATGCTGACGCTTCAGGTCAGGGCTTTAACCCACTGCACCACAGTGCCGGCCGCAAGTCCATCAGTTTTCTATAACAAATCACTTAGTGGCTTAAAAGAGTACAAATTGACCATCTTAGCTTCCTCACGTCAGAAGTCCCACATAAGTCCCGCTGGGTTGAAGTCGGGGTGTCAGCAGGGCTGCTTTCTCTGGATGCTCTGGGACAAACCTGTCTCCTGCCTTCCAGCTTCCGGAGGCCGATGCCTTGCTCAGCCTCCTGTGACTTGCGTTTGCCTCCCAGCACATCACCCGCACTTTCCCTTCTGCCCCCATCTTCCACTCCAGAGGACTGTGTGGTTACCCCGGGCCCATTCTTATCACCCAGGCTCCTCTCCCCATGATTGGCACTCTCAACCCACCTGCGTCCTTAACGCCCCATTGCCATGTATGGTAAGGTATTCACAGGCTCCAGGAATCAGGACATGGACATCTCTGGGGAGGCCATTTTCCTGGCTGCCACAGGAGGAACCACAGGTTCAAGTTCACACACCTGGTAGGCAGAGGAGATAGAATTTGACACTAGGAAGGCCCTCACTACTCTGGGTCCCTAACACTGCACCTATGTCCTAACCCAGAGCCTCTTCTTCCTGGAGTTGCGTAGTTATGAGAGAGGGAGTGTGTGTGTGTGGGGGGAGACAGAGAGAGAGAGAGAGAGAGAGAGAGAGAGAGAGAGAGAGAGGCATCTCCCATCCACTGGTTCATTCTTTTGATACTGCAAAGGCTGGGGCTGGGCCAAGCCTGAAGCTGGGTCCAGGAGCACAATTCAGGCATCTCAAATGGGTGGCAGGGATCCAATTACGTGAGCCATCATCTGGCTTCCCAGGGTTCACATTGGCAGGAAGCTGGACTCAGGAGCTGGGGCCAGGAGCCCATCTCTAGTTCTCCAGGGTGGGATGTGGGCATATTAATGGCTGGACTAAATGCCTGCTCCAATCCCTGAGTGGTTTTTAAATGTTTTGAAATTGTATTTTTAAAATATTTTTTCTGAGAGAGACAGACAGGCATCTTCCATCTGCTGATTCACCCCCCAAATACCTACAACAGCTGGAGCTGGGTCGGGCTGGGCCAGGAGTCAGGAGCTCAAGCCAGGTTTTGCATATGAGTGGCAGGGACTCAGGTACTTGAGCCATCACTGCTGCCCCCAGGGTGTGCATTAGTAATGAGATGGAATCAGGAGCTGAGCCCAGGCACTCCGTAACTGCTGCACCAAATACCTGTTCCTGGAGTGGTTTTTTAAAGATTTCTTTATTATTTATTTGAAAGGTAGAGTTAGAGAGAGAGAGAGAGAGAGAGAGAGAGAGAGAGAGAGAGAGGTATCTTTTACCCATTGATTCACTCCCCAAATGGCTGCAATGGCCAGGAGCCAGGAGCTTTCTCCAGGTCTCCCACGTGGGTGCAGGGGACCAAGTACTTGGGGCATCTTCCATTGCTTTCCCAGGTGCACTAGCAGGGAGCTGGATCGGAAGTGGACTATCCAGGACTCGAACCAGCGCCCATGTAGGATGCCGTTGCTGCAGGCAGTGGATTAACCTGCCATGCCACAGCGCCGGCCTGCCCTGAGTGGTTTTTTTAAAACTGACCTCCTTGACCTGGAAGAAGCTCCTGACTCCTGGCTTCGGATCGGCACAGCTCCGGATGTTGCGGTCATCTGGGGAGTGAACCTGAGGGTGGAAGACCTCCCTCTGCCTCTCCTCTCTCTCTGTAACTCTGTCTTTCAAATAAGTAAAATAAATCTTTTTTTTTAAAACTGAGCTCTTTGAGATCTGGGGATGTGTTTATATTGGGAGGGACACAACAGCACCCTATACCTAGGGGAGGCATCGGTTGGGTGCCAGGCACTATTTAACGTGGGGGCTGGGACTGGCCTGGGGTGTGTGCAGAAGTGGTGGGCAGAATGCTCCCTTTTAGACTGCATCCCCAGTTGCCTCTCGGGGTGCTCTCTAAGGAGGAGGAGCTGAGGGGCAGTCCTTGTGGTGCAGCAGGTGAAGCCGCACTGGTGGCACCAGCATCCCGTATCAGAGCACCTGTTTGAGTTCTGGCTGCTCTGCCTCCGATCCAGCTCTCCGTTAATGCACCTCGGAAAGCAGCAGAAGATGGTGCGAGGGCTTGGACTCCTGCACCCTTGGGAGACCTGGATGGTGTTTTCAGCTCCTGGCTTCGGTCTGGCCCAGCCCTGGCCATTGTGGCCATCCGGGGGGTGAACCAGAGGGTGGAAGATCTCTCTCTGTCTCTCCCTCTCTGTCACTCTGCCTTTCAAATAAATAAATCTTAAAAAACAGGAGTAGGAGGTGAATATGTGCACGTGGAGACGGGATGCACAGGTCCCAGCAGAGAGGAGAGTGGCAGAATTCAGAATGAAGCAGAGGCACAGGCAGCCAGAGGCTTGCATCCGGGCAGAGGCAGGAGGGCTTCCTGGAGGTGCTAGGGAGCCCAAGGTGGCTCTCGCACCCGGGGCCCCAGCTCCCCACGGGAGCACAGAGGCTTCTGCCCGAGTCGTGGACAGCCTGGTTCTTAGCCTCCTGCCCTTGGACACACAGAGCGTCTGCTTATCCACAACAGAGGAAGGGGCCCACGGTGGGCTCCCTGCAGCTTCACCTACTAACCCTCGCCCCAAAAACTTCGCAGATGGCAGTGGAGCCAGAGTGATGGTGTCAGAGGACTGTCTTCACAACGACACAGAACAGCGTTTAGAATCCAGGCTCCGCATCAGTCCAGTGTGTTCACACCTCGGGTGGGCTGTGAGCCCTTGATGAACCTCTCGGGGCCTCAGTCTCCCTATCTATAAAATGGGAGTAATTATAGTACTTAGTTCAAAATGCATTGTGATAATTACTGATAGTCACTAGCTATTAGTGTGTTCTGTTTATATTTTATTTATTTTTTAAAGATTTATTTATTTAATTGAAAGTCAGAGTTACAGAGAGAGAGGAGAGGCAGAGAGAGAGAGAGAGTGAGAGAGAGAGAGAGAGAGAGAGAGAGGTCTTCCATCCACTGGTTCACTCCCCAGATGGCTGCAATGGCCACAGCTGGGCCAGGCTAAAGCCAGAAGCCAGGAGCTTCTTCTGGGTCTCCCACGCGGATTCAGGGGCCCAAGGATTTGGGCCATCTTCTACTGCTTTCCCAGGCCACAGCAGAGAGCTGGATCAGAAGAGGAGCAGCTGGGACTCGAACTGGTGCTCATATGGGATGCTGGCACTGCAGGCGGTGGCTTTACCCTCTACGCCACAGCACCGGCCCCTTTTTTTATTTTAAAAACTTAGCGAGTGCCTGAGATCCTGTCTGCTGGTTCACTCCCCAAATGCCCACAACAGCCAGAGCTGGGCCAGACTGAAGCTGGGAATCAGGAACTCAATCCTGATCTTCCTTGTGAGTGACAGGGACCCAACTTTTACGTGAGCCATCACCTGCTGCCTCCCGTGGTGCACGTTGGCAGGAAGCTGGATCGGAAATGGATTAGCCTGGGAGGTTTGAACCAGCCACTCCGATACGAGATGCAGGGCCCCAAGCCGTGGCTTCACTGTTGTGGGTGTGGTGTGTCACGCCTCGCTCACGCCAGGCACCTGGGTAGCATTCCATGAATAGCTATTTGTAGAGTGGTGACGGCTCGCCCTGTGATGCAGCGCCCACCCTGGCCTTGAACCACAAACACAGCCCACTGATGAGTTAGGAGAAGCACCTGAGTCTTCCTCTGCCGGGAGCCTGGGGCTGACT